CGACGTCGAGGGTTAGGTTTTGGGTAGGTTCTTTCCTTTTAACTTTTTTTTTCTATTCTGGGTTTTCTGGTTTATTATCATTATTTGGGATTCTAACCCTTGATCTCCTTAATTTTGCAGATCTCTACAGTTTGAAAAACTAGGTGATATCTTCTCTAAACCTATAGTGGATAGTTTGGTTATTGTGGCTATGATTTGGTTTATAAGTCTCCTTGGTGTTATGAAAGTAATTTGTTAGGACCCCTGCTAGATTTGTTTAGCATTAATATTTGGTTTTGGGTATATATGGTAAAAACGAGAACCTGCTTTATTAAAATTTGAAAATCTATAATGATCCTAGAGTAATTAGACATCACAGCTACTGCTTATGACTATCAATTTGATAGGAATCTCTCTAGAGTTGGGATTTGGTTAAACAATTGATTAAAAGGCTGATACTAATTTGTAACAAATGAAATTCTCAATGATATTAGGGCTTTTATTGAATTTGGCATACAAGATAATAACTAAATGAGGACTTTGTGATTACCAAATATTGGTAATTGGGTAAAAAAGGGGTGCCCTTAAACACAAAAGATGTATTTTAAAATACTCTTCCAGAGGTCTGATTTGAATTCTTTTTGCTGTTTTGAATTTATTGTTGGATTATTGGTGTGTTAAAGGACTAAATGGACTACTCTAGCTGATTAGAGCACTAAATTTAGCTAGCTACTTTGCAAAAATTATGTTTGCAAAAAAACTGAAAGTTATAGGCATACTATATAATGACAGAAATGTGTGGCCTAAAGAAGCATACATATTACAAGAAATCAACACCCCTTTTTTATGCCCACTTTACATACAAATCTAAACACCCCATCTAATGGGTTATAAAAAAGCAACATCATTTACAACCATATTAAATGATTTTGTATTACTATATGGATGTAATGGGTGAATATATGCTTGTGTGATTGGTGGGGTGAAGAAACACCAACCTGTGTTTGCAGTTTGGTGGAGTTTGATGGCGATGGCTTGTTGCTATCTCTGACTTTCTGCCCCCTTTTATGCTTCTTAGTGCTCCTGGTCTGCCCCCTTTTTGTGTTTAGTGCTCTGTCTATTTTGTGCTTTAATGCTCTGCCACCTTTGTGTTTTTTTGGTTCCTTCTCCTCTTTGTAAATGTCCTCTTCCGCTGCCTTTGTTTGGGGTAAGAGAAACCCCTTATATATCATCACTTTTTACTGTTCATTATTGTGTGTTGGCTGCTCTTCCTTTGCTCCTGAAGTGGTGGCCTGAACCACCTATTGTGTTGGCAGTTTGGTGTTGGTTCTTTGAGGGGTGGCCCTTTGTTCCTTTTGAGAATTGGCAGCTGCTCTGGGACAGGATAAGGATAATGACAATGTGTTCGGTTGGTTGGATCGACCGGAGTTGACCGGGTCGACCAGAGTTGACCCGGTTGGATTGGACTGGGCCGAAATATGGGCCTGGATTGTGGGTTCTTATTTTGACCTCCTCTTCTAATATTTCCTTTTTTTTCAGGGCCTCGGTCTGTTTCTGGCCCAAAATGATGACTTAAGGAGGCCCAAACAGTCTCAAAAGGGCTAGGCCTCTAATTCTGATTAGTGCCACCAAAAATAGAATCTTTTGTTTCTTATTTCTTTTATTTAATGTATAATTACTAAGTGTATCTTAAAGGTTATAATTTGTAATTTGTAATTACACATTTATTTATTTATGTTATTGCCCTCGGAATTAGATGATCATTGTATGTATTGCTCAAACATCCAATTGATTCTTCCAACCCAATTCGTTTGCTTCTCCAATTTTAAACTGTATCCAAACTTCTAATCAACGTTTCCCAAACCATGGATTATTACCATTTGTCCTATCCCATTTGACAGACTTTAAACCAATGTGACCAACTGTAAACTGAATACAATGATATTAGTATAGATCGTGACGACATACTATCGTTATTCTAAATAAAGCGAATTTGGTAGCCATTAGCTACTGCTAATCCTACCTAGTACAAATGTTCGAACTAAATAAAAACGGACTTGGAAATTGTTGGTACTTATTGATTCGCCACCGCTAATCTCAACCAACCTCATCCAAACTTTCACTTGAGTTTTCTTTTTAAGTTGGATAGTCTTTTGAGTTTTGAGTAGGATGGTTGCTCCGGACAAAATGTGGTGTCAACATGGGGAGCAACACCCGGGTGAAGCTTTCTCAATTAGTGTCAAATCCATTTTACCTTTGCAAATTAGTTTAGTTTTAGACCTTCGTTTTCATCAAAACTAATCCGCTAGATAATGTTTCAAACAGTTGAAGTAGTGGTACAAGGGCCGGCCCGAATCGATATTTAAACATACTTGCCCTATATTGCACCCATCTAAGGTTTATACTTGGGCCTTAGGTGGGATTTTATTGTGATAGTCAGAGCGAATTAGTTTCCCTTTTCCTCTCTTGTGTTTTCCCTTCTCCTAGCATGGAGTAGTCCCTTTTTTCACTTGGGTGTTTCTAAACCCTAGCTACAATTATGTGAATGCTTGTATGAATTGAATGATTTGTGTGTGGTTGTGTTTAATGTGAATGTGGAGTTATTATACATGAATGATTGTGTTGTGTGAAAGTTTATCAATATAATAGCCATTCTTACTTAGGTAGAGAGAAAACCCCCTTCCTTTCTTTAAAAGAGGCTTGAATGCTGGGTTTTCTTGGGCAATTCGTTGTCTCTTAGTTAGGTTAACGCAGGGCAAACCTCCTATTTCGTATTAGCACTTAGGGTTTGGTTGTGGATGGCCGTCCGAACTCCAATTCAAGGGTGAAGTCTAACCATTCCTTAGTCAATAGGTTGAGAGGGTCGTATTAGTGGCTTGGATCGTATCCCATTTCCTCGACCTAGAGACTAAGAGGGTAGCTTTGGCTACTTGTTAGATTTCCCTGCGGTTTATAACTTCCTCATAACACACGGTCATTCGATCCATCAATTCATAATTGTTAGCTAGGGGGAGCAACACTCCGGTGAAGCTTTCTCAATTAGTGTCAAATCCATTTCATCTTTGCAAATTACCTTAGCTTTAGATCTTTGTTTTCACCAAAACTATCCGCTAGATAATGTTTCAAACAATCAAATTAGCGGTATATGGGCCGACCCGGGTCGATATTTAAACATACTTGCCCTATATTGCACCCATATAAGGTTTATACTTGGACCTTAGGTGGGATTTTATTGTGATAGTCAGAGCGAGTCACGAACGTGTTTTTAGATGAACTGTAGCGATAAGAGGGGTTAAACGAGAGTTTTTTTTTAAAATAATAAGCCTTAGTGTATATTCATGGGAAATGAGTTTCCCTTATTCACCAACTATATTTTTCAGATACCAAAGGAAAGGTATTTTGCTGGCTACATGATGTAATTGTTTGATTACAATCATTTATGACGCCCCTCTTGATTCTTGCATTTTTTTCTGTACAAGGTCATCTGCCCAAAAAAAACATATGACTGATAGACGAGGAAGTGTTAAGATCTATGTTGGGATTCATACGATCTCTCTTATATGTTCCTCTTATAGACATCCATCTTCTCATTATACCAAACCATATCTTTTTAGCTAAAGAGTGTGATTTTCCAATCCATGTTCAAGGCTCCATGTTTAGGTTCACAAGAGGATTTTCCTTCTCGATCTCCGTGATCTCATCAAAAGAATCAACACAATGCTCTTTAATGGAATTCATGTAAATGGTCTCATTTATGAGATCGAGGATGCGATTTTCATCCTGTCATGGTAGGGTGGGAGGAATGACATAGATGGAGACGACTTGCCTTTGCTAAACAAATAAGGACTAACTCCCGATTAATGGAGCCTTGAGGCTTATAAAGGGTATTTTAGAAAAATTTTGTTTCAAGATGAGGCCCTTGGTGGACACCAATATTTTTGGGTGAGATCTTTATGTCGACTTCGATAAGAGAAAAAATTAATAGAATTTGGATCTAGAGCTGTAATTGGAGAAGAAAAATCTTATTGGATTGTTGAGTGGGCCGCCTTTGGTCGTCCGACATGCAAGGGAGTGCAAATGCCAAACTTGGTAGCCCGATTTTGTCCTCTAAAGATCAAGTCAGTGAGGGAAAACCTGTACAAGGACAAGAGAGAAGGAATATAGAGCACATGGGATCGAAATGTGTTGCTCAAATGAGGGTGGGAGGCCAAACATTTATAGAAAAGCGGGAAACCTAAGGGTTTCCCGCATACATGATTTGATGGGTATGAGTTATAGGATCGATCTGAAGTTGACTAGACCATCCGCGTGTCCCTCGGGATTCTCGCATCACTAACAAACATTGTAGAGGTCGTTATTCCTTTTGTATGCAACGACTATCCTCCTGTGGATGATGTGACATGTCAATCTTTTGTATGCAAAGTGAACGATAGAATTGGGGAACTTACTATCTACAACTCGAGAGGAGGGATGGTTATAACAACACACTCTTATCCCTTGTACGAGTCTGACTTTAACCTCTAGTCGTGTGTCAATTAAGGCCGACTTAGCAAGACGTACACTTATGGCCTTCAATTTGGACGAGTTGAGCATGCGCTCTATCAGGAGGGTCTAACCAAGAGGTGACCACTATGGACCTCTTCTGATCACTTGTCTGGGTCCTTAGTCTTTTGACAATTTATAGCGAGTGAATTATATCTTTGTTTTGATTAGAGTTGAAAGTTCTTGCTAAGCCCGGCTGTCCGTGTTTTAACCGTCATCGGGTGCTGCAGTTTGTATTTAATGGTGGTATGAATAAATTTGTTATGACGATGGTGTTTTTTTAAATGAATTTTTTTGGGTATTTCCGGGAAAAAATCCTAAAATCTTCAACTTGAAACCAAAACGCAAAGTAGACAGGATAAGGGAAGAAGAAGCAAAGCCCTACGAGATCAGGCCATCAGGGAAGCTGAATGTTAGTGCAGCAGGGAAGTTAGTCCTCTGCTGGAAGTGCATTTGGCGATTCCCGCCCTTCAAGTCGCCTCGCTCTCGTATCATGTCTATAGCAGTGACTAATTGCTACTTATCTGCCATCTCCTCTACCGTCAAGTTTCGCTGCTCTGCTTCTTCTTCACGCCGTCTTCTCGCCACCAACTCATCCCTTGCCTGCCTCCAAAGCTTTCAACCATAACATAAAGCACTCAAAGCGCGGTTCTCCCGATGACAGAACCAATAATAAGGATGTAAGTCTTTCTTCTCCTGTGAATTTCGGTGTTTTTGTCCGTGTTTGTAATGTCTTGTTGGGTATTTATTTGAATTGTGGCGTTCAGAGAGAGGCCGTTTATCAGAAGAAATCTGCTGGTAGAGCAAAAGACGAGAGGTCTTCTCCTTTCCATGCCGATGCCAAAAGTGGCAATGCTAAGCCATTTGGAGCACAGAGAAAAGATAACAAGAGCTTTCAATTTGATTTGAAGGAACAACCGGTACGTTCGATACCTTTCTTCTGACTTCCATGTTCGCATTCAATTTTAAACTGAGAATTCTGCGAGCCCATCATAAGAGCTCCTATGTTGTTTTGCGTTCTCGTTTAGCTCTTGCATCATAATCGTCATCCAGATGTGTGGTGTTGGTACTAATGCAGGTCGGAGCTGGGAACCTTCAGGGTGCAGCTTTCCTAAATGCGGTAGTCAAGGTTAGATAATACCCCGCCGTTTCATTTAATGGAAATGGAGGGTCAGTGCATTTCATATGTGCTGTCTTTTCTTTTTATCACAAATCACAGAACAAAGGCAATTTACAAGTACTGGGAGGTGAAGTTCAAAGAACTTGCTACTCAATTCAACTTTTCTTCACTTCTGGTATGATTTGAATCACGAGTTTTATGTGGTGCCTCTAGGTTTATGCCTTCGTTTTATGTCCTGTTGCAGTGCTTTTATGATAGGGAACGGGAAACTTCTAACAAATGCACACTGTGTCGAATATCAAACACAAGTAGTTCGATCTCCAAATTCATGCCATGGCGTTTCAAAGTGTCCTTTTCATGTTCATTATTGTCACCATTTGATGTTGCTAGAGACCGAGAAAAGTCTGAACATTCAATACTTGCAACGGTGATCATGACGTTTTGACGGGGTAGGAAACATGAGCTGAAGTGGGAGTGTGCTCAATATGTGTCCTTAAGCAAGAAGAGTAGTTGGTGAATGATAAGGAATCATAACTAATTGTTCATGAATTTCTGCTGCAATTTCTATAGCTGCACCTTTTTATTTCAACACCCTTAAGGGGACCTAGGATCTGAGATAAGTGGGTTGTGATATTGTTGATTCTCCAAGTACTGTCAGATTTATTGATCATGATACACTACGTTGCCACGGTATGTTTTTTATATTGTCATGATGGTAAAAAAGTTTCTTATTTTAGTAAAAACTTTTGCTGCCAATAAATGTTCACGTATTATCTGTAATATGACATATGAGTAAACATGAAATCTTTATTCTTTCATGAATTTTGATGACAGGTCAAAGTGAAGAGAAGGGGAGATGACACGAAGTATGTGGCCAAGGTATTCAATCCTATTGAAAGATAAGAAGATCCCTTTAGGCAAAAAGTACTTTTCAATTTTATACTCTTTCGTTCTCAATAACATGCATAGGCCGAAGAGCCTACAGCCTTGAAGCGGGTTAAGAAACTCACAATGTGATCACAGGCGGAGCCAGCCCCAGCTGACACCCTTAAATTTTTGGGAAAAGTTATTGATCCCCATGCATATAAGAGATTCAAACACTAGACTTCTATGTTAGTAAATGAAGTATTATAAACAATAAAGTTAATTTTGATAATTATTGACAATTAAATAAACTTAGTGGGGTGCATTGAAAGATACTTACTTTACAGTATAAACAATGAATGTTGCTTGCAATCTTTGAGATACGAAAACATGTCAGAGTTGTTTATTCAAAATGTCACTTCTATTAATTGCTTTTTTCATGAAGGAATTACTCTGACATATATATAACATTTATTTTATTTTTATATTTAAATCATATAAAACGACACCCTTGATCCGATCTTCTGGCTCCGCCACTGCATGTGATTGTTTACAAATATGTGGTTTAGTGATATCACATGATTGGATATTCGGATCAGTTCCTAATCATATGAGTTGCTAACATAACACACTTTGTGAATTCTCTCGTTTTCTTGATGTTTGATTTGTGCATGTGTATATGAGCACTGGTAGCTACTGCAACTCATGGTCCCGTTAATGACATAATAAACAGGTGTTGGCCAGGGGTGTTGATTGTGATATTGCTTTGCTCGCTGTTGAAAGTGAGCAATTTTGGGAGGGGGCTGAACCATTACAGTTGGGTCACTTGCCCCATCTACAGGTCAAAGTCACTTCTTTTGCCATTTTCTATATTTTTGGTTGTGCATGCTTTCTGATTATGCGTTTCTTACCTTTCTGGAGGGCAGGAAACAGTAACTGTAGTAGGATATCCACTTGGAGGCGATACTATTTCAGTTACAAAGGGAGTTGTATCACGGATAGAGGTAGGCTCTGACTTCGTGTATGAAATCCAATTACTTTCTCCGACAGTAATTTCTTGTTGGATGGTTACTAAACGGTTTCTTTTAATTAAATTCTGAGTACCAAGTTGCTGAGTCCAGTTAACTCATTGTCAGGTTACTTCGTATGCACATGGATCATCTGATTTACTTGGCATTCAAATTGATGCAGCCATAAATCCTGGTCAGTAGCCATCACTATTGTTTCTAAGCTCTTTCTTTTCAATTTGAATTATGTTATGGATTCCGTATACAAAACAAATCCAAGTGGCCCTTAACCGCATATAGATCTGATCATATATGTATTGCCATTCTATTTTGTATTACAGTAACTAATTATATTATTTATTACAATACTTTATTATTACACTAAAGAAGAAAGAAAAGGGGGAGTTTTTGAAATGCGAGATCTAAAAACATATTTATCCGTGGCACCAGTAATAAGTACTTTATGGTTTGGGTCTTTAGCAGGCCTATTGATAGAAATTAATCGTTTTTTCCCGGATGCGCTGACATTTCCCTTTTTTTAATTTTAGGTATTAATGCCTAGAGGTGAAGAAGATTAGAGATACAATTAAACATCTACCACTCCTCATTTTTTTTTATTAGAAAACATTAGAAAAGAGAAAGAGGAAAGGTCGATTCAATCTCAATGAAACTCAGAAGTCTGGCCCAGGCTTCAAATAAATGAACTTCAATTAAATTAAGAGAACAAAAGTGTAAAATGAAGTTAAGGTAACAGTATCGTACAAGATATTTCAATGAAATACTGTACTGCGATTCTAATCAAAACTTCTAATCTAAAGAGAGTTGAAAATTCTTGTATTACCCATTTTTTTCTCTGTGATGGCTGCTGCTTATGCTTGCTAGGTGATAGGTAATAGTGGTGGTCCAGCATTCAATGACCGTGGGGAGTGCATTGGTGTGGCGTTCCAGGTAGTTTCTCTTGTGTGCTGTTGAAGTTTATTTGTAACTTCTTTGTGTTTGGAACTAATCATAAAAAACATGATATTGTGCTTTCCTATACGTCCTTGATTCAAGTTAATGGTGATGTCCATTGTTCTCTTCTTTTTTATCGGAAATATGTCCTTAGATATAAGATGAACATTGTCATATTTCATTGTGTTCCCTGCAGACGTTCATTATTGTACTTCAGTTTCTCTTTACAATTTCCAACGACGAGCTCCTTCCTTTAGGTTTACAGATCTGAAGAGGCTGAAAATATTGGATATGTCATTCCAACAACTGTGGTCACTCACTTCTTGAGTGACTATGAGAGGAATCAGAAATACACTGGTAATTTACTAGTATATCTTTCACCATTAATATTGTACACACTATTGTTTTTTCAAATTTTCTTAAACAAGCATATCTTGCAATTGCTGATTGATATGTATATTCGTGCAACCCTCTTAAGGTTTTCTGAACAGTTGTATCTCAGGATGCTTTTCACATAGATTGCTGATCTGCTAGACCTGCTTCATTATCCTGTGATTTGAATGATATAATCTGACTAGAACTTGTTATTATATAAGCAGACCCCAGAAACCTATTATAACCTTAATCACGTAACCATAAATGTATATTACGAGGTCTGGTGTAACCTCTTAACACGTGACTTACCGGCTTTCCTTCGCTTGGTGTATTACTGCAAAAGTTGGAGAACCCAGCACTAAGGGAGTGTTTGAAAGTTCCATGTAGTCAGGTACCATCCTTGTCGTACTGCCACTTTAATGTATCTGGTTGAGAGTAACTAATGTGTGTTGTGCAGGGTGTGCTTGTACGGAGAGTTGAACCAACATCTGATGCAAATAGAGTGTTAAAAGAGGTATGCTTGCTATTTTTGTTCAAACACTACTGATTTGCATAATTGTTTAAATTTTGTTTCTGGGAAAGATACCCAGAAAACCTTTTGACATATTTCATGGAGTGTTTAAATTTAGTGTGACATAGAAAGTTTTCTGAACCTGGTCATGCATTATGCAGTCCCAAACTATTACTTAAGTTTTTGGGAAGAACATGTCAAACCCTGGGGCATAACTGGCAAATACTGAGGATATTTATTCCTTTTATTTCCTTTTCCAGGGTGATGTGATTGTGAGCTTTGATAACGTTAAAGTAGGGTGTGAAGGAACTGTGCCGTTCCGATCAAATGAGTGCATTGCATTCCGTTTCCTTATTAGTCAAAAGTAAAGTATTTTTAGCTTGGCAAATAATTGTTTGTGCTGGCTCTGCCTTCTTGTTCTTCTTTCTGCTTGAATTGATATATAATCAGTTCTTTCATCTTTGAATACGTATTGATGCTCTTATACAGATTTGCAAGTGATGTAGCAGAGCTTGGTATTATCAGAAATGGTAAATCCATGCAAGTTCAAGTGGTCCTAAATCCAAGAGTTCATTTGGTAATACGTGGGAACTTGAAACTAGTACTTAGGTTTAGGGTATTGTGTTTACAGCCTAACTTGCATTTTTATGTTGCTCCCTTTTAAGGTGCCTTATCATGTAGATGGCGGCCAGCCTTCTTACTTGATAACCGCTGGTTTAGTGTTTACTCCTCTCTCAGAACCACTAATAGAGTATGTGTTCCTTCCTGTTGTAAGAAATTTTACTCAATGTCAATCCCTGTGATGGCATGCATTGTTCATTTATTTTGTTGTCTTTTCGTTATTAAACTAACTTTACTGTTCATGGAATGCAGTGACGAATGTGAAGATTCAATCTGAGTATGCTCTAAGTTCTCCAAACTAATCTAAGTTAACAGTTTCTTACTATATGTGCTCTGATGCTTGTTTTCCGATGAATCTATTTTCTTTTACAGTTGAAGCTTTTAACAAAGGCGGGTTACTCGTCGGCGAAGTTTAAAGGAGAACAAATTGTGATCCTATCTCAGGTGAACTAGCTCACCCTAACCCATATTTTGATGAGATCGAGACTTCTTCTTTTTGTTTCTTACGACATTTAAACTTTATACACCCCTACTTATGTTATTCAATTGGCAAGAGATCTGTTTGAGTTGGGATCATAAGCAAAGAGTAGAACGATAGTGAAATAATTAAGCAGTCTCACAACTTTTTGGTCTTTTATTGGCATTTGAAAGTATGAGTGTTAATAACTTATGTGATCCCATGAGGTTTTGGAATTTCACATTACAGAACGCCCCTAGAACTGGGAATGCAAAAGAAAGAAGTGAAGTATGGTCTATATCAATTTGAGATTAGGTTTTAAAGGTAGAAATTGGATGTTGGACAGCTGCATTTGATTGGAAAATTGGTTATTTGATCAAGTGGATGCACCAACAGGTACCATCGAGTTGAATCGATGGAGGCGATTCCAATGCAAAAGAAAAATGATCCCTTTGCGTTGTGAATTGTTCTTCCGGGTGGGGAAGTTGTATCTAGCTTACTGTTTTAGTTTGATTCTTTTTTTTTAACTTGTAGGTGTTAGCAAATGAAGTCAACATTGGATACGAGGATATGGGCAATCAACAGGTAGCAAAAACTATTTGATCTTCCATTTCAGTCAACCCTTCTGCAACAATATACTCCCAAATCCACTCTCACAACAAACACGAACAAAAAAACTTGCAGGTTTTGAAATTCAACGGTACCAGTATAAGAAACATACACCATCTAGCCCACCTAATTGATTGTAAGCCACGAATACTTGCATCTCCCTCTGGTACCTCAACCCCTTTTTCTATCATCTGTTTCTCTCACACTCGGGTTTCACCATTGATCAGCATGCACAGGCAAGTACATGGTTTTCGAGTTCGAAGACAATTACTTGGTTGTGTTGGAGATGGAAGCAGCTGTGGGCTCTTCATCACAAGTTCTCCAAGATTATGGGATACCATGTGAAAGATCTCAAGATCTGTTACAGCCATATGTGGAGTGCAATGTTGAAGAGGGTCAATCCATTGTGGATGGGGATTTTGGAGATAGTCCAGTTTCCAATCTGGAAATTGGGGTCGACGGCATCCTCTGGGCATGATGTGCTCACGAGGTGTATCACAAGCACAGCAGGTTAATTATCTGTTGAGATTTATTATTACCCTTTTCTGGTTTTCTTCTTCGGGTATTTTGTCTTTGCTATTTTCCCCCCTACTGGGGCATAATTTACAATGTCTGTTGTTTTTTTCTTCTCAAATGGAGTGCCGACGGATGATAGGTAGTTTAGGAGACCGATTTATTTGGTTTTGGGTCAAAGTAAAGAGCTCATAGGGGATGACAGGTAGTTTAGTCAGTGCTGAGTTCATTTTAAGTGCAGGAATAAGAAATAAGGAGATTATTAGAAGTTTTATTTTATGATTTTTGTTTTTTGGAATTTGGATAAATGTATTGTGCAGTATAATCTGTTTTTCAATTGGATAAGGTACACCCTCTATATTAGTACTATGCTAATAATAACTGATGATCATATTTTGGTAACTGCTATCCTTCTGCCTCAGCTCCACCGCCTCTCCCGGCTCCCCCTCTATGCTTATCCAACATTAACTCTGTTTCCATGCATTACCGGCTTTAAGCGTTCAACATCAGTAGAGCATCACTACATAAATAGAACAATCATAATTGCGGCAGCGCAATAATAATAATAATAATAATAATAATAATAATAATAATAATGTCATTATAATCCAAGCAGTTGCAGCACCGTAGTTCAATGATTTGCACTCACTAAATCAGTTATAATAACGATTCGGTTCATTTGATTGGGCAGTGATGATTGTGCAGTGATTAACCGAACGAATTTTAATGGTTTGACATGAGACCAGTTCAACCACACCGGGTTTACTAGTTCGCGCTATTTTATCACAAAAACTTAAGAAAAAAACTTTCATGTAAACTAAGCTCATCCAATCGCACTCACTAATTTAATTTATGCTTCCTTTTCTTCATTTTTTTTAGTTTCCTTGTCGATTTTTTGTGGTCAACTATGGATTGTCTCTCATTCATAACTTGCATTTAATAAAACATTATGATTTTTTCATTGTGATATTTTGAATGCTTTGTTAGAACTATTTGGCGATAGACGATATGAATTTGAAATTATTTATGGTTAGTGATAAATTCACTCCTAACCAACGATCCTATAATGATAAACTGTTGAATCATCAACCACTAATTTTTCAGGTTCAACATCTGGTCTGGTTCTGAAAATATTGTTTGCAGCTAATACGAATACACCAATATCTTTATTGATTAACATAAAATAGATTTCTAAATCAAAAAAAATTTATTGATTGATATTATTACTAGTGGCAAACCCAGGATTCTTGGATAGATATATTGCCCGATAAAAATAAGTTATATATAAATAAAATAATTAATTAATTAAAAATGAACATTAAAATTTATTCATAACTTTCACAATTTTTTTTTACACAGAACCACGATGAATTTTCATATTATGAAAGGTTTCTTAATAACATAGTGGCTTATGTTGCAAACTAAACCTTTTTTATATACACAACTAGACAATTATCAAAAATTGGTCACTCAACCGATTTCGAAGATTGTTCTTGATTAAGTTAATATATGAAAAAACTCATTTTGTATCTTGTAGTTGCAAGTAGTAAGTCAACACTGACTTAAGATGGAAAGATGAAAAGGTGGTGAAATGCGTCAACATGGAAGTTTAAACAAAAATGGGGGGTGCGCCGACCAGATGCCGATAATTGGAGTTCATCGTCTTTATGAGGTTTCTGGTGTTCTTCATCTTTTTTCTGGTCTCCTTCATGAAAGTTGTGGTCAACTTTATGAGTTCTTGTCTACTTCAGTAAACATAGGTAAGCTTTATTATTATTCTGGTTTGTTTTAGGCTTGTAGTCATATTTATGGTGTGCTTATTACATTTTTCTAGTACACTTAATGAAGTTTCTAGTATACTTTATGAGTTCGGTGGTGTAATTTGTAGTATTTCTGGTCTAGTAAAGTTTTTTGGTTAGATTCAAGAGAGTTGTGGTAAGTTTCAGAAAACTTGTGGTCAAGTTTGAGTTTTCTGGTCAAGTTTATGATTTTTGTGGGGTGGTGAGGTTCTGCTATGCTTTTATAAGCTTTCTAGTCTAGTTTATGTTGTTTGTGGTGTTGTTTGTTGTATCTTTTGTCTGCATTTTTCAGTCGACTTTAATGAAGCCACTACACTTGTGGTCCACTACTTTGTTTCATTCTTCTTTTGTAACGTAGCTTGAATGAAGCCACTTGATCGACTCATTGTCAAATGTCCATTGTTGGCCCTTGTGTTCCCATTATGATTTTTGAAAATGACAAGCGTGCCCCTTTCTTTAAAAATCAACATTAGTTGTAGTCAACCCCTTAAAAAAATTAATATGTGGTGGGAAGCTTGTATGATTTAATGAGGGCTTAAAAGGTATTTTTATATTATATTATTATTTCCAATTTTAAAAAATGAATATTTGCACCACCATCCCAGACTCGGGATTTTTTGCCGCCCAGCTACAAAAGTCAGCGCAAATTATTATTATCAGATGATAATCCTGAATTTGCGCATGTGTTTCCCACTGTTTCTTGATCGTTTAAGCTTACATTATTGCTTCTTTTACCTATTTAATGCTAGGTTGTGTTCACTTTTGTCATATTTCAGATCCTAGAGCATGAATGGAAGTTTAGGAGCAAGTTACTGATCAAATCGAAGATTTTTGGGCGACTCGGAGGAAGAAACTCGGGCATGGTCAGAGGATAATGGATTTCTACCTTATTTTATTGATAAAGAATCATATAATCTCGGCATGAATAAAAAGAGGACGAGTCTATGAGCATCAAGGATCAAACAACGACTGATTCGAAGTTCAGACGAGGTAGAAAGGACCCAGATATCAAAGACAAGGAAATTGAGAAACAACAGGCTACAACCAAGTTACAGGCTGGGCTTCAAAGTTATGGCCTAGCCCGTAACTTCGCCATTTTTTTCCGTAACTCGGGTCACGAGAGGCCTAACGCATTCCAGAGGTTACAGACTGAACCCCAAAGGTTACAACCGTAACTTGGCCTCTAGAAACTATTTAAATGCCTTTTTGCAGCTTTTGAAGGAGGGGAGCTTGGGCTTGGTCCCCAAACACCCAAGGGACGAACCAAAGAGAGAGAGGGCGATTTGATGGCGATCTTGGAGTGTAATTGTAGGATTTTTTCACCTTAGAAGCTCAACAAGCCTTGACATAAAGATTGAAGATTTGGAAAGTTATAATGTATTCTCTCTCTTCTCTATGAGTAACTTCCATTTACTTAGGTTTTGAGGAACCCTAGATATGTTTGTTAGGATTAGAGTTTTATGAACTCATATTCATGATTGATTGACATTATATATTCAATTGAGATGTTTATTCAGAATTGCATGAGTCTTGATCACATTCCTATAAATTTCTGCTTTGACCTAGAATGATAGTCTCTGAATAGGTTAATAGAGCAATCTTCAATTGGAACTTGGAAGTAGTGAATCGGTTGTGAGAGAGTCAATCAATTCACTACTCTATGTTGGAATTCATTCCAGTAGTGGAGATCTTTGTGTATTGCCTTAGCATTTTACTCTAGTGGAGGTTAGTCGCCCGTCGGGTACTTTGTCTAAGAGGACTTGGTCGGCTTAAAAGATTCTAAGCTAGTATCGGATCTAATGTAGTATATACATCAACAAAATTGGATTGGGTGAATTAAAAATTGGCCTAACTGTAGACTAGGGGGAATCATGCCTAAGTGAGTTCCCAACTTATAATTAGACTAACTTAATTGTAGTTTGCTAAAGTTGCTATAATTCTTATATCTTAATTTGGTTTGTTAGATAATGAACTGAATCTGAGTAATAGTAACTCTAGAGACCTATGGATTCGATATTTACTACTTGTGCCACTATACTATCGTTCGACGACTGTTGGCGGCCATTGAGGCTTGGTTTGACCAGATCGAGGCAGGCCTGGACCGTGAGCGCGAAGTTCGGCACTACACCCACTTCCTGGAGCGCTTGTGCTTGGAGTCGAATGTCGCCTACACCCAGACCTTCTGGCACCCTTCTCCATACCAAGGTGGAGGCGATGCTTGAGGATGACCATTGACCACGAGTACTGTGTGTAACACCCTACCCTATACGTATTAGCTGATCGTATTGTTCATACAATTGCAGCGGAAATAATCTCGGGTGTTACATTAATTATCAAAATTTACCCAAATAAAATTTCGACATGAATTACTCGCGTAATGGGCTAACAGTTCTTGTAACTAAATCCTGCAAAATAATTTATCTGAATCCCTGCATCCATCGACATACACATATGCCCATAACCATATACATTGGCTTTCATAGCCATAGTAAAGTTTTCATACTCCACAACAGCATACCATACTTATACATACCATAATCGTCACAACTTACACAGTTACACAAAATATACACATATCATCAACTTTCCACACCTGTGGATATCTCACACTACATCAGAAGCTAGTATGCACATGAAAAACGTTCTCAAAACATTTTACAAAAAGGTGTAGATCATTGGCCAAAATCCCGAGTAGTAGTCCAAGCACAGAATAGTTGAAGACCATACCTCATCCTGGCTTCAACTCTAGCTCCTCTCCCACCTAACACTTATCTACTGCTGCTGCTGACGATCTGCTTACACATAGCATAAGCAGAGAAGAAGAATAAAAGAGGGTCAGCTCATAGCTGAGTGAGATAATCATAGCATCGCGAGTTCATAACAGAGCATACCCCTACCATACATCTAGCAAACAAGCCAAAACACTAGGATCGGACATCAGCCATCCTCATATCCCAATGGGCAAAAGACTCAACCACTTTGACTTATGCATATGCGTCTTATCATGTTTTACTTATAGGCGCCTGGCTACTCCCATGCTAATAACTCTCCCGGGAAACATACCCCACATCCCGTCGGATGTAGTCATACATACCCCAACATCCCGTCGGATGTGGTCATACATACCCCACACAACTATGGGTGTAGTCATACCCCGACACCGCTCTGGGTGTGGTCATATCTCGTAAGAATTCTTCAGTCACCACCACATGAGAGGTGTGACTATCATACAT